CAACATGACATTCGTTGAGGGGTCCACCTTTCTCTTAATCTCAGCCACACATTCTCTCGATGTGTCATCTGACGACCTGCTGTAAATCTTACAGCACCGTTGGAATTAGGAACCTTCGATCTGATACTCCTCACTGGGATCACAGTAAAGTTGTACCGTCACGCTCGACCGTCCGATTAGAGAAGATCGATACATGCTGAATATTGGGTTTTGTTCCTCTGATTTCTCCCCTACGAATCCTTCCCACCGTTGACGCAGGCTTGGCTTCTGAATCCGTACCATGTCAACAAATTAAAATCGGTTGATATTATTGTTGGTCTTTTGATTTAATTTTAATTTTAGCCTCAATAATTTTAAATATTTGGTTTTGATCTTTATAACTTTATAAGAAAATGGGAATCAAAATTAAAACTCATAAAAAGTTCAAGAATCATTCATTAAATTTAGACTAAAAAAATTATATAACTATAAGGAGTAAAAGCAATGATTTGGAACAACAATGACCAAAACCAAAACTCAACTAATTATAAAAACTAACATTAACCTTATAAAAGTGTATACACTCTTCAGCATTAAGTACGTGAAGTAGTGCATATAACACCGTGTGTTGAATAAAATCGACAAATTAATTAGTCATCTTAATTATAATTGATTAATTATGCAACTTGTTAAATTTGTTATATTGTATACTAATAAACATGAACTTCTATATACACTAATTTATTGTTACCTGAATGAATTATATAAGAAAGAGCAAACTCTTAATATAAAGTACTAATTTATGGCTAATACAAAAAAGAAAAAGAAAAGGAGAAATATTGAATACAAATTCCATAATTAAAAAAACTCCCTTGAACTGTTGATGGTCAATTCCATAAACTAATCATATACATGATGATATAAACCATAATTTCAATTTAATATTGTCCACTCAAAAGTGGTGTTAGGTACTACCTCCGGTCCTAATTATAAGACCCCGTTCATAGTCTATGAACGGGGTCTTATAATTAAGACCGGAGGTAGTATTAAACATGCCCACGTCACTAATCAATCAACTTCATGCATGTATGGATGACTGGATGAGCATATATCCTTCACTGTTCCCTTTTATGCTTAAATATTCTTTAGCAGATATATTTGCACTACCTTAATCTTCTTATTTGACAGTTTAATTAAATTCCATATGAATGAAGGAATAATGAAGAATTATATGCGAACTAATTAATTAATTCGTGAATATATATAAATAAGAGAAATTAGGGAAGAAATTAAGAAAAACGGAGGGAGCTGCATACCTTACGGAGGAGGGTGACGAAGCAGGTTCCAGAGGCATCCATGAGAAGAAGGTGGTCGTTTTCAAACGTCTTTGGTGTCGATAACTCCTCCTTTCTGCAGGCAGATTGTTCTGGAAGACAGGCAACATCCTTGAGGCTCTTCTCATGCCTGCTTCTTTCCTTTGATTTCGTGGACTAGGACTGTTGATTCCTAGAATTTTCTCTCAGGCTTCGGCCTGCCTTTGTAATCCAAAAAAAAAAGAAAGAAGAAGGTGGTCGTTTTGGCCAGGATGAGGACCGTAAGAGTCGAAACGGAAGAGAAGGTTGCCGTTTTGATCGTAGGCGACGAAACCGTCCCCGACGAACAACAACGACGTTTTGTGAACAGTGAGCTGCGTTTCGTGTTCGAAGTGAACTTTGTCGTCTACTATCGCCACCCTCTTCCTCATCTTCCTCTCGCTTCTCTTCTATTCTCTATTTCTCTTCTCCCAGGAGCTGTACTTTCTCTGTCTAATATTTCTTTCAACTTACTTGTCTGTATAATTAATTAATTAATTAATACTACATCCTGTTCTTAATATAAGACTTTATTTGATTTTTATTTTAATTCTCAATATAAGATCTTGATCCACTTTATTTATCATATTTATGTTTTTTTTTCTTTTCAAAATAATCCTTCTAATTAATAATAGTAATTCTAGCAACTGCACTTGATTAGTAAAGATATTTTAAGAAAGATAATACATATATATTATAAATAACTAATTTTATTTATTTTTTAATCTATTCATATTAATCAACTAGTTTTTATAATCAGGAGGTAGGATTAAATATGACTTGCCACCACAAGATATTGTTTCCGAGTTCCATCAATTAACCAAGTGGGCCTTCTTTGTCTTTCAGCGTTAAGGCCCCCCTCTGTGTTTACATATGAAACACTTTCAGATATTGATTGATTTCCTGTCCAAACAACCCCCAAAATGGGAGGCACATACTTTTATTATATGCATGGATGTTTGGGTTAACTTTTTCTATGTAATTTTATACTCTTCAAATTTTTAATATAAAATTTAATTAATTAATTTGAGTAGATCTTAAATACCAGAGAAGTATTATTTATAAAGAACTAAATGAAATGCATTTTCGAAAAATTATTTTAAAAGATTATACTTATAAATCAATTATTTTAAATAATGCATGTGTGAGAAATAATGATAATCAGATTGGATGGTGATGGGCACATAACTTGTTTGAAACCCCAAAATAAGACTTCCAAACACAAAAGTATTCTTTAAATAAATTATTGTGTCGAAATGTGCGGATGAAACCGATTATGGTGAAAACAGGTTACTAAATTGAAATTTGATCCAACTCAAATTTAAATTAATTAATACTACCTCCGGTCCTTAATATAAAACTTTTTTTTACTTTTATTTTGATTCTAAATATAAAACCCCAATCCACTTTGTCTCTTATATTTATATATTTTTTTTCAAAATAATACTTCTAACAATGATAGTTCTAGCCAATACACTTGATTAATAAGGATATTTTGAAAAAAAACAACACCTATTTGTTACAAATAACTAATTTAACTTCTTTTCTTAATCTCCTTAAGTTAGTCAACTAGCTCTTATAATTAGGATCAAAGGTAGTATGTCATACCAAATACAAATATAATAATATAATATAGCTTAGTGTTGAAGGAAATGTTGAATATCCAGTAAGTATTTGAGCATTATATAATCAAATATGAACCGTTTATTTATATGACATGACTTTACCAATTTATATTTTCTTTCATAGTTGATTCACAATAATAACCATCTCTGAAACCCATGCACTGCACTGAATTTCAAAGACGAGCCGCACAGTAGTACTCTAGTTCACTATCTCTGATTCAAATTATAAAAGCTAGCTGACTATAATTTGAGAATATTAAAAAAAAGTTAAGTTAGTTATTTATAATAAATATGTGTTGTCTTTTCTAAAATATCCTTGTTAATCAAGTGTATTGGCTAGAAATACTATTATTATAAGGATCAAAATAAAAGTTAAAGTGGGAGATTGATTCATAGAGTGAAGTGTTTAAGACTAAAATAAAAGTTAAACGAAGTCCTATATTAGGACCAGAGGTAGTATATAGAATTTTTTTTTAACAAAGCATAATCTTTATTAATAGAGGAACTAGTAAACATCATGAATACTTGATTCATAGAGTGGGGGATTGATAACTAGTTAATTCTAATTAAAGTCGCATTTACATATCCCAGTAATACAAGAATGACTTCATCTCAGAAGTTATAAAGTCGCTTTTTAAATCCTTTAAACAAGTGCGTAATTAATCACCAGCACACATTTTTCATTTTTTTCCTGTCAACAACATATTTTTCATCTTTTAAAGTGTATCAAACAATATTTCACTGCAAAGATCGTAAGTCATATGTCAATACAGTTTTTTCAAAAAATCTAGCAGCTAATTAATTCGATAAGTTGGTATTAATTTTGATCATTATTGATCAATATTGTAATATCAAACATCAATGAGTTTCACCAACCTCTCAAACGTTAAATATCATCTTCCTTGAAACTAAGATCTAAGTCTTATACTACCTCCAATCCTTAATATAAAAATTAATTGACTAATTTGAGTAGATTAAATAAATAGTTAAGTTAATTATTTATAATAAATATGTGTTATTTTTTCTAAAATATCCTTACTAATCAAGTGTATTGGCTAAAATTATTATTATTATAAGAATTATCTTGAAAAAAAAGATAAACATTAAAAATAAAGTAAATTAAGGTCTTATATTTAGAATCAAAATAAAAATCAAACAAGTTATTATATTAAGAACCATAGGTAGTAATTATTATTGTCTAAAATACTACTTTCAGGACTTAATATAAGAGTTAGTTTGACTTTCAATTTGGTTTTAAATACAAGATTTTAATCTATATTGTCTTTCATATTTATTCATTTTTTTTCAAAATAGTTCTTGTAATTGCATATCTTAATGGTTCCATTATAGTAGTTTTAGTTAATATATATGATTAGCAAGAATATTTTTAAAAAACAACACTTATTTATTACGAATAAACTGAATTAATTGATGTTCTCAACCTTCTCATATTACTCAGATATTATATTAAATGGTGAAGGCAGTGCTACATAATGAACTGACCTTTGTATGTCCTAAAAAATGACATTTAAATAATTATTGTTGACATTTTTTATTTTTTTATAGACAAACACGATAATAAAAAGCATCGCTGATAATATTACTAATTAATGATTTGGGAAATAAATTTTTATTTATATTCCAGGTCAAAAATTACTACTTATGTTGTTTAATATCATAACTTAATATTCTAAACATTAGAATATTTTTATTTAGAGCAATAATGAATTTAAAATATATTTATGTTTTAAAAATGGGCCACCAAATATATGTCGTGTGTGATAAAAATATATAAATTTAAAAAAAAACAAAAAGAAAGAAAAGTTTCATGGTGACGTGGAGACCGTTTTCGCTCCGTAAGAACTTGGGAAGGATTCGTTACCAACTGTATTGGACGCGGCAAAGGTTCCCTCCTTTCCTCTCAACTATGGACTAGCACTTTGTCACTCTGAATTCTCCACATCAAACCCAATCTTCTCCTTCTCCTTCTCCTTCTTCTTCTTCTTCTTTCTGAATTTCAAAGATTGGTCAATCACCTAAGACAATGTCGACGTCGACTCCCAGGTTGGCTTCTACACCACAGAACCCACAACCTCCGGATTCATGGGATTTCATGCTTCCATGTCCGCCAAGTCGCAACAATTTTGGATCCGCCGACTTCAGTTCCCATGGCCTCATCGCATTTCCTTCCGGCAGCTCCATTTCCATCGTCGACTCTCGCTCCATGCAGCTTCTCTCTTCCTTTCCCATTCCTCCTCCTTCTTCATCATCGTCCTCGTCGTCATCTTCCTCTTCTCTTTTTGTTACCTCCGTTCGGTGGACCCCTACCCCACTCAGTCGTGACCTTCTCTCTTCTGAGCCTTCCTCCTCCCACCTCCTTCTCGCAGCTGGCGATTGCTTAGGACGCATTGCTCTGCTCGATTTCCGTCTCAAAACCGCTATCCTCTGTTTCGAAGCAGATTGCAAACTCGGAATCCAAGACCTTTGCTGGGTTCAATCTCGACATGATTTTTCTCTACTCGCAGTTATTGAGGGGCCCTCCACTCTTTCGATTTATAACACATATATGGGTCGGTGTATTTGGAAGTACGACGCTTACCCTGAATATTTTTCCTGCATTCGCCGCGACCCTTTTGATTCTCGACACATATGCGCGATTGGGCTTAAAGGTTTCCTGTTATCGGTCACGGTTCACGGTGAGTATGAAGACAATGTTGTGATCAAGGAGTTTCAGATTCCAACAGAAAGCAAGGAATTGCAGAAACTGGAGAAGGATGCAACCGGTGCGTCGACGTCGCCTGTATCCGCATTGTTTCCCCGTTATGTGGCGAGGTTCGCCTTTTCTCCGCTGTGGAGACACATTTTGTTCGTCACCTTTCCGAGGGAGCTGATTGTGTTTGATTTGCAGTATCGAACCATACTTTTTTCCTCTCCACTGCCTCGTGGTTGTAGCAAATTTCTCGACGTCTTGCCTGACCCAAATAACGAGAGCCTCTACTGTGCTCATCTTGATGGAAAGCTCAGTACTTGGCAGAGGAAACCGTAAGTGATGTGTCTTAAATTATTGACATTAAGTTATCTCTCTTCTTAATCATTCGTATAGATTAGTGTATTACCGTGCATATATTATAAAGCATTAAGCAACACCAATGAATGTAAAAGGAATTAACCGCCATAACGACACTGGAATCCCTTTAGATGGATAACAAAGGACTGAGTAAAAGAAATAAAATAACAACACGGGAATCCCTTTAGATGGATAAGAAAGGATTGAGTAAAAGAAATAAAACGGCCAGGAAAACATAGATCGAAATAGATAACGAAGTTGATCTTTTTCATAGTTTAGTTTTGTTACCTTAAGGAAATGAAAACAACTATATTACGCTCATTCAGAAACAGAATGCCAGCAAGAAAAGAATATCTTAGCAATCATGTTAGGTTCTCTCTGTTTTACATGCAAAAGTTTGTGCTCTGCAAATATGATCATTTTTTTAATGAACAATATGATCATATTTTATATCATCTGATCTTTCAAGGGCACTTTTCAGCTATAGCGTTGCATATGTGCATGCATTTCATTAGATGTTGGATATATACTGAAAATTAAAAGACTAAGAAGAATGGTTCATTTAAAATCTAACGCGTCATACATTAACCTCTGAAATATGCATGTGCATGAAATATAGATGATTAATAGAACCTGAACTCCCCCCCCCCTTCATGTTCTCATATAGTGGTCCTGATAGTTTAAGTGCCAATTCTTTTTCCTATTGAGTCATGATTATCTGCACTTAACAGTGGGGAGCAGGTACACACCATGAGCTCATTGGAAGAGTTGATGCCTTCAGTTGGCACCACTGTCCCATCTCCATCAGTACTCACAGTCCTTCTATGCCAATCAGATTCTGCACTTCAGAACATAAGCAGGAGTTGTTCTGATGTATGTAGTTCTTCCCTTGCTGAGGATTTTGATCATTCCTTTGATTTTTGGGAAGAATCCACCATTATTTCCAAGACACATGTGATCTCCATCTCTGATGATGGAAAAATATGGAACTGGCTCTTGACTACTGAAGGGAATGCTGACACTCAGAGAGTTAACGAGAAGTTGGGTTCCGTCAAGGATGACAATGCGATATCATTTGCTGAGACCAAAGCCAACACGACCGCATCTTCAAACAACCTGGAATTAGAGAGGCAAACGGAGAATGATGGTCGAAGCTACTTGTCAAGCTCAACCTTCAATCAGGAAAATATTACAATAAAAGTAAGTGTATAGTTAGAGACTTAAAATTATACCCCACATAAACAAATCAATGGGTTACACAAAGAACAAGATCTAAGGAGCACAACTTTTAGTTCTATTGGTCTCATTTTTTAATATAAATTTTCAGCATTGCCAATGTCTTATAACATTTTCCACTTTTCTTTTTGTCATTGGAAGCGTGTAGATCGAGTGCCCTAGTAAATCACTATCTTTTATTTAGTTATTGCATTTTACTTACTGCTTGTAATACTTCTTGTTCTCGATGTAATTGACTGATTTTTTCCCCCTAGGAATTAGGAGGATGAGGATGTGATCCTCCAAAGTTCATGGAGAAAGTGGGTTAGGTCGCTCCTTTTCCCTTTTCCGGCGATATGATGCTATGAAACTTCAGGATGTTAATAGACTTATAATAAACGACATGAGTTAAGTAACATGTGATCAAAGCACATGATTGAGAATATTGCCATGGAATCAGTAATCAGTTGTTCAACACCTTGATTTTAGCAATTGACTCATAAGGCAATTAACTTCGTCATTTTAAGTGAGACATAGTTATGACCACGAATTCTCACCTGCCTGCGATGAATTTAACATGCAACAAGCGCTCTCTAGACACTTGCAAGTATCAAGTGCATCCTTCATTGCTGGTTACATTGGTTCTATGTATCGTCTATGTATCTTTACAAACATGTCCTGATTAGCCATTCCTGCCCAATCTACTCTGCCTTTCTTAGAAGAAAACAAAGAAGCTGAATAAAGATGTAAAAGGTATAATAATTGTCAAAATTGTAAATGAGCTTTTCTTTTCCCGTTATTTTCCTGCACAGAAATGAAGATCAGTTGGGTCTAATGGACCCTCCTTTTCTAGGGCCAGAGACTAGGATCACTCATTCCAGTCTCACATGGTCAGAATTCTTATTTGTGTTGGTCTTATGATCTACATGAGAATGATATCCTGGTTTTTCTATCCTGTTAAATAGCATCTAAGTGCTAGGTGGCATTCAGATAGTAATGACATGCAAAAATTGACTAACCTGCTAAGAAATCTATCTTCTGATGCAGATCTGCCTAGTTGGACAGCTTCAGATTATTTCTTCGACAGTCACTATACTGGCAGTACCAAACCCTTCACTGACAGCTTCTTTGGCCCGTTAGTTTATCTCATTACTAATTCGGATATTTGTTGAAATCCATTAGTACTCCTTTATAGAGTTTATAATGCATATCATGCTTCTTATGTTGATCAATCAAATGGTCTAATGTGAAGGTGGAGGAAACACACCTGCCGTAGCTGTTCCGTTGGTTGCTCTGGGAACACAGAATGGAACGATAGATTTAATTGACGTTTCTGCTAATGCTGTTGCATCAAGTTTTTCGGTACATAATGGAACGGCGGTTAGGGGACTACGATGGCTAGGAAATTCTAGACTGGTTTCATTTTCTTATTCTCAGGTATATTGTAGTTTCTTTTGTGGACGAAGTGTTTCTGTTATTTTCATGCAGAATTTCTTTCTTGCGATTGCTGACTTAATGTTGAAAATATTCGTCTTGAGAGTCTTCATGACGAGAGTTACAATTCTTATCATTAAATCCTAAATACTTAATAGTTTTATGCTTTCTTTAAGTATTTAATTTTTCGTCACTGTTCAATTGAAATGAACTGGAAACTTTGGACTTAGGTTAGTGAAAAAACAGGAGGATATATCAACAAGGTTGTCGTGACTTGCCTTCGAAGTGGCCTTAACAAGATGTTCCGAGTTATGCAAAAGCCCGAGCGTGCACCAGTGAGAGCTTTAAGAGCATCATCATCTGGAAGGTGAATCACAAACCTTAATTTATTGTTGTCATTATTTAAGAGCAATGATCCCCAAAATTTTCATCTGTCAGAGTGTTTTCTAAGAAACATTTTGTAGGGATATTTGATCTTCCAAATCTTCTCAAACCTGATAGCTGAGGAGATTATTTTTATTTTTGTGTGATTAATATGAAAGAATTTATCATCTCATCTGATCAGACATGGGGCTAAAATTTTCAATTTTCTTCTGCAACGCTTCACTTCCACTCAATTTCCACAGAGCAATCCGTGACCACGTCATGGCTCAGTAATTAGATATCCACAATATTTCAGGTACCTTCTCATTTTGTTTCGTGATGCGCCTGTGGAAGTTTGGGCAATGACTAAAAATCCCATAATGGTAGGCTGGCTGATGCATTTGACCCCTCTTCCTCCCTTCCTCCTGAATGCCTCTGACTGTTGTTAGTTGAAATGTAACGTGATGACCAGCTTAAGTCTGTCATATATGTGAAATTACTAAATGCAGGATTTGGGTAATACTGTGACTTTTCTGATTTTGCATTGCCTAATTCTTCCTTTCTTTTAATCGCCATACACCAGGGGTAAATTTTCAGTATCTCTATTTTAATGTATTATTTTCTTTACGCCTTCAATGAAAAAGTTTTGCTATCACATAACAGATATGGCTAGGTAGTTGGGCGATATCTTTTTTGTTCTCCAGTTCTTGGGATCTTTAAACCATAAATAATATATACGTATTACATAGTGTTTAGCTGTGATTCCTTCTGTCCTTTAAAATGAAGAGTCATTATTGTACTGTGTATCAGCATTGCAGTAGAATGCCGGGTCCTCTATGGTAAATGCAGTCGTTACTTGGACCCATATCTATTATTTGCCCCAAAAGCTTTCTTCTGACAGCCAGTGGGAGTTGGCTAATTCTGAATCTATTTTCTCGATCGATGATTCACGTTTATTCTGTTTTTTCCCCCCCGGATAACCCAGCTTTCCAGCATTCTTCATTTTTATCACTAAGTGCATCAATCTTAGCTTCTGTGGTGTAATTGTTATAAATTCTGGTTGATACTACGTTGTTTCACGGGGATGTTTATAATGCTTTGTATCTCTATGTAGCTTAGATCATTAGCTCTCCCATTCACTGTATTGGAATGGACTCTTCCGACCGTTCCGCGTCCTGCTCAAAATGCAGCTGCTAGGCAGCAATCGGTTGAGGCGATAGATGAGACAGCGACCCCGACAAAGTCGTCTACATCAGATTCGAGTGTGTTTTAGAAGTTTGTATATATTATTAGGACTGTAGCTAGTCTAGAATCAATTGTTCCATTCTTCTTCTTAAATTTTATCTCTCTATACAGAGGGTACAGGCACGGAGGCATCACTTGATGACACTTCTGAAAGTTTTGCATTCGCTCTAGTGAATGGAGCGCTCGGAGTTTTTGAAGTTCATGGTCGAAGAATAAGGGACTTCAGGTGTTAAACTTTGTTTTTTATTTTTCCAATCAGAAAAAGGTGCATCGTTTTTCCTGTATCGTTGCCATGATATTTAAGCAGTTGTATAAACGCTGGTCATGTTTTATCCTTGTTTCGGAGGCAATTTTTCAGTTTATTTTCAGTAGTAATTCGTAAAATACAAATGCAATCATATTAAGCTTTTGCAACACGTCATGATCAACACTCAAATTATAGTGATTCAACTCTAAGAAAAGGTCTTGTTCACACAGAGAAGTAACCCATGATAATATTTTATGCAATTCTTCTTTCCACTCTGGGTTAACTTCTGAATTGCTAAAGCTCATGTCAGGCACAGTGGAGTACACAAGCCTTGCAATCAAGGCCATCTTTCTAAGTGATAAACATAACTAACGCAAAATGAGCAAACCATGCGATAATAGCAAGGTCCCCCCCCCCCCCCCCCAAACAAAAAAAAAAAAAGTTTACTCTTCTTGAAAATGAGTAACCCAACTTACCTGGTTAGGAGGAATTTTGCAAACTTTGTCTGAGGTTTAGGTAGAAATGTTCCTTGCGGCAATAAGAAACCACAGTGCATAGTCTTCTTCCGGGCAATTCAGAATTTATTACAGGAGGGATTGCCAATTTCTTTCTTTCTGTTTTTCATATCCGATGCATACTCCCATCTAGCAAGAATTAATCTGTCTTGTTTGCATTATTTTGTCGCGTTTCTTCATTTTTATCGAATAAGGTTTCGTATTTACCTGTCTGCAGACCAAAATGGCCTACTTCTTCCTTTGTATCATCAGATGGATTAACCACTGCTATGGCCTATCGTTTGCCTCATGTGGTACACATCATATTGACAGAGTTGGTTTAATATAAAAGACCAGTTGAATTTGATCTAAATTGGTTGTGACCAAGTTAGTAATTCAGGTCATGGGAGACAGGGCAGGGAACATACGATGGTGGGATGTGACAACTGGGCATTCTTCTTCATTCAATACTCACAGGGAAGGAATTCAGCGCATCAAATTTTCGCCTTACATACCAGGGGACAGCAGCCGGGGGCGTGTCGCTGTTCTGTTTTGTGACAATACCTTTTCTATTTTTGATTTGGTAAGCAAATATGGCTTTTCCTGGGTCATATGTGCACTTTCATCATCATTATATTCTGTTTTTTTTTCTTGGTTTGTGTATGTGTGTCTAACCAACATAAAAGATTACTTTAAATGGTGGCAGAACTTTTCCCCCCTCTGCGAAAGGAGAATAGGAATTGGAGCTTCTCCATGGATCGGAAGTGAAAATTGATATTTTGAAGAATATGGTGTCCTCAAACGAAAATTTTCAAATATTAACGACTTTGCTGAAACACAACAGTAGGAAGATTTGGCTAAAAACTAAACTTCTTCATTGTTATAGCAGGTCGTAATCAATTGATTCAAAAAAATAAAAACCAAGAAAGTTGCAGCATGGTCAAACATGCATACACAGCCTGTTATCAACTTCTTCATAACTTTTGACGAATTTATCGTGAAACTTGGTCCTACCAGAGGCTGGAAACCTTTCTCACAAGGAAGTTATATTCAATTAATTTCATATATATATATATATATATATATAAATATATATAGCTTCACTCAAGACTTGACTTTATCTATTCTTAGATCATTATGCTGTTTTGCAGGATTCACCAGACCCCTTGAACAATTCACTTTTGCAGCCCCAGTGTCCTGAAACCCTTGCATTGGAACTTGACTGGCTGCCCTTGCGTACCACTAAGAATGATCCGCTAATGTTGTGCATTGCTGGAACTGACAGTAGCTTTCGCCTTGTTGAAATTAACGTGTAAGTATCAAGTCTATCTATTGAGGGACAGGATAAGGTTGGTGGTCTAGAACTCTACTAGAATGTTTAGTTCAAAGTTAGGGTTTAGCGGGAATGTCGTTTACTGGAAAAGCAACTGTGAGCTTAGCTTCTCAAGCCTGAAGTCTTTGTTTAAACATTGTCAAGTAGAAAAGATTAGATAGTCTGAGCCCAGTGCGCATCTTAATTTGCTGTACTATGATGATATAATTTTACGGTGTAAAGTTCGATTTTTTTTGGCTTAAGGATAAGGTTTGAATTATCGTGGAGGATGTATATCAACTTAAATGGGCAACGAAAGATGTCTATTGCTTGTGTCAAATCTTTTAGATGTTTGGTTATTATCGTCATCAAGGTGGTTGAAATATGAAGTGCTCATAAATAGATGGCGCATTGATGACACTAGTTGTTATAGAATTAGTTTATCTCTTTTTTCAAATACCAATGCTTCCTTGGTTACCCAGTTCTTCCTTTCTTTTAATCAGTGACATCCTGCTTTTTTAAGCAGAAGTGGAAAACGACTTGGTCATGCACCCCATCTCAGAACTACGGAGAGATTCAGGCCAATGCCTTTGTGTTGTCCAATACTACTTCCTACACCACATGCCCTGGTAGTATGCCAGCATTTAATTTTCTGATTTTACTGGAGAGTTCTTTTTACTTCAATTGTTTATTATTTCAAATTTAAATTAAGGTATGATCAATCTATCCCTTTGTATATTAATCACGATAGGATACATGAGTATTTATTTATTTTTGAACATCAACTAGCCTTTTAACCAAAACAACCAAAGTTGTTATTTAATATTCTCCTTGCTTTTGCTCTAAGTTTCGAGTTGTCGTAGGCTTCATTCTTTAAGCTATCCTGAGAACAATGCGCTATTACCAGAATTGATGCGTGGTCTGCTTAATTCATCTTCCTAAATGGGCTTTTCTTTTTCTTCCTTCGTTGAAAGGTCTGCGCAAAATGATCGGTCTAATAGAATATATTATAACTGGCCACTTTGGGAAATATACATTTTACTCTCTGAATTAAAGCAGTAAAACCTCTAAAAGCATTTTTTTTAACTTCCTTTTCGTTCAGATATTCAGATGCTGTGGAATTTTTCCTGCTTAAGTTTTAGAATGGCTTCTTTTTTTTGTAACGGAATTGAATCCCACTCTGACTGCGGCATATCTACGTATCCCACTCTGTCTCTAGCAGTTTGGAAGTAGCTGATATATAATCTTTGCCACTTTGTCAAAACAGAGAAGGGAAGAAGCAACGTAAAATAGAAGTACCCTTGGGAAATTACACACTAACACACACAAGATGATAGTCCAAAGCTTAATTAGTGCTAACTAATATTGCTTCAAATTCTATAGTTTGTCATACGAGCATGCTTTATGTCTTTTCCTTATTATCTGACAATTTATGCCCATGATGTTTGACTCTATTTGATGTGTGGCTAAACTGCATGCGTCTTTCAATTGGTCGGTGAAATCGTTACAGGCATTGAGGATGATTTTGCAACTGGGAGTTGAGCCATCTTGGTTTAATACTAGTAGTACAACCATAAAAAAGAGGCCTCACTTCATACCTGGAGCTTCATCGTCTAGTGGTGATCTTCGTACATACATGATTGATTTACCACCTATTGGTGACACTGCAGTGCCAGAGATGCTTTTGAAAATCCTGGAACCATATCGAAAAGAAGGTCTATATCTTCTTATGCATGTATTTTCATCATGAAGATTCTTATATTTGGCAATCCGTATACTTGATGTTTTAACCTTTAACAACGCTCTCTCCTCTCAAGGCTGCATACTTGATGACGAGAGGGCAAAGTTGTATGCCAGTGTGGTGAATAAAGGTTGTGCCATTAGGTTTGCCTTTGCGGCTGCAATGTTTGGTGAAACCTCAGAAGCTCTGTTTTGGCTACAGCTGCCTCAAGCACTCAAACATCTGATGAACAGGCTTTTAAATAAGCCTCCATCAAAAGGACATGTATCAGAACCATTACCCGAGGTTGATGAGACATCTATGCTGTCTAGGATAACATCAAAAGGAAAGCCAGCAGAAAAGATGGGGAGAGATGTGATGGTAAGTTATCCCCTGTTCGATCGCTTAACATGCCTTGGTGTCGCAAATTTCCATTTTGTCTTGGTTTCTTTTGCATTTGAATCTACGTCATCTTCGTCAAAATGAGCTTGGCAATTTAACTAGCAGGGTCAAGGTCAGCTTAGGTTGATGGCGTTTGACCAGAAAGAGTTGTGGGAATGTGCAAATGAACGCATTTCTTGGCACGAAAATCTGGAGGGCGAAGAGGTTTCACAGAACCGTGTGCATGAGTAAGTTAATCCGGCATTACTTTACTTATAGCATAGTAGTAACTTTTATTAAGCGTGTTTAGTTCAATGTCGTGAGTGCAAATATGCAATAGGTTTTGCTTGACAGTTTTTAAGCGCTTGTGAAAAAGGAGAGACAGAGTGGGAAAAGTTGTTAAACAAGGGGGGAATGAACTTCATGCCCACACTCATATCTTACACCATTATTTCTCCCACTTTGAAAAAAAAATGCTATAATATTGAAGTTGATATAAAATTATAGCTTAAGGGTTTTGCCAACTCTACAGTTGTAACGCAAATAAGGGAAATATTTTAGAATAATAATTATATGAAAAGAAATATTTATAATATAACAATAAATGACCTCAACCTCGGTGCTAGCTTAAAACCCGGACGTATCGAGCCTGCGTGAAAACTCAATTCACAGCTGAAAATGAAAATTTTGGCTCTGAAAATATGACTGTCAAATACTTAGCAAAAGTAAAGTCAACACGTGGGATCCGTTCCTTGTTTACATTAACAGTGGTTTTCCTTGGGAGAGTCTCATGTGTATAATTGAATTCCAATTACTTTTGTTTGAATATACATCCAACACATAACTTAAAAATCTTTCCAAATATCAGAATTTCAGTTCAGGATTTTTTTTTTCATCATTAAGTTTTCAGTACTAAACTCAGTGCTAGAACTTAAGACACCCTCGGCTTGCCTGTGTGATTATGAACTCTGGCTTTGCATTATAATTTATTGATGCAGTGACTCGGAAAAAATAACGTTACGTTCCATAATTAGTTTGAGCAATAATATTATATCTCCGGTGTTTTAAGTTCTAATAATCTTTAGAGGATATACTCACTGGGGAATTCCTTTTATATTTTCTACTGTCAGGCTTGTGTCAGTTGGAAACTTAGAAGTTGCAGTTAGTTTATTGCTTTCCACTCCACCAGAGAGCTCTTACTTCTATTTGAATGCTCTCCGTGCAGTTGCTCTCTCTTCAACTGTTTCAAGGTCTCTTCATGAACTTGCAGTAAAGGTGAGTCTAACTTGGACATTGAATATGTTTTGGCACCAAACCTAAAAGTTCTGGTTGGCTGGTAAATGACAGTATTTCATGCTCTATGGTTGCTTATCACATCATGTCAGGTTGTTGCAGCAAACATGGTGAGAGCTGACAGGTCATTGACAGGAACACATCTTCTGTGTGCTGTCGGAAGATATCAAGAAGCATGTTCTCAGGTTGGGCTGCATTTTTAATGAAGTTCCGGTCATCTCTGTACTTTCAAGGATGTAGTAGTACAGTGCAGATTTCACCTAAACCCGGATGCCTATACTTTTAATCAGTTTTTACCTGGGGTGCGTTATCGATCATATAAAATTTTAGGTTAGAGTTGGTTGCTAGATGCATCTTCTGTGTAAATTTGGGTTACCCAGAAAGCCAACGTGATTCAGTAGTTATTATTAGAAGCTAGCATTAGATCCTTTTCACTTCTAGTCCTCCATTGTTTTGCTTCGATCTCTTGGAGTATGGAATTGAATTGATCACAATTCCTAAGAAATGAAATTAAGCTTTATGATGTGTGATAACATTGTTCACGTACTAATGATTAAAAAATCATAGTGTCCTTCCTTGCTACCACGCTTGGAAGAAATATTTTTGGCATGTTCGGTTTACAAATTGAACTTGACAGGCCCTTAGCTCTTTCAAAACTTCAATAAATAAATAAATAAAAGAAAAATCCTTTCAATATAATGCCCTGATTTTTCTAAAGAAACATGCCACCATATCTTTATGCAGCTACAAGATGCTGGATGCTGGATGGATGCTTCAACGTTAGCTGCTAGTCACTTAAAGGGATCAGATTATGCAAGGTCCTAGCTTCTATTGCTCCTGTTTCTTCGTATGATAAACTACTTTCATTTGACAGAATGTGAATTCAACACCATTCTTTCCTTTTAATCGCGAGTGTGACATATTTTTTTCCTTCTAAATATGAACACGTCTCTGAATCTGAATGAGCATGAGAGATTTTGAAACCACTATCATGATCAGGAGATTTTTTTACTTTTAACTTGTATTATTACAGAGTGTTACAAAGGTGGGCTGGACATGTCCTGCGTACTGAACATAATATCTGGAGGTACAAACTGTCCTTTGTTCAAATCTTGTCCCCATCAATTAGAATTCCGAGTCACAGTGATCATATGCAGGGCTCTGATTTTGTATGTTGCTGCTGGTGCACTACAAGAGGCATTGGCTGCTCTCCGTGAGGCTCAACTACCTGAAACAGCAACAATGTTCATCCTTGCATGCCAGGAGATCCATGCAGAAATAATTGCCAGCTTAGATGTTACAGATGATGAAAGTCCTTCCTTCAAGGAGAACCTTCAACACTTGCCTGGTTTAGATCCCCAGAGTGAAGATGTCATTTCAGCTGGGGAATATTTTGGGCAATATCAGAAAAAATTGGTGCATTTATGTATGGATTCACCGCCATTTTTTGACTAGACGAAGGTCTTATAGTGAGCTGATCACGTTTCTCATTTATATACATAAAACCAGTGGATTAACTCAGCTCAGAAAAGGAAGTCAAGTGGATGAATCCCGCATCTGTGCCGCCCGTTGGCTTGAGTGAATAATCTGTTGCTAGAAGTGAAGAGCGGGAGGCAGTGACCTAGTCCAGTCCTAGAGAAACATGGAGGAACAAGATACCAGATTCTGATATGAATCTTAATCTTATAGATCGCAGTAAATATATCTTGCACGAAGTTTTCTTGTCCTTTTTTTTTTTTTTAAATGTTTGAGAATACAACCATGAAAAATGGGTCGTCATAGTGCTGTTGTAGCTTGTGTAGAAAATTTTGTTGACAAATGATTAAGAAGTTGCATGGCATTTAATTAGACTTTTCAAATGTGGATAACCCTGTTCTTTAAAAATGACTATTTATCGAATAATGTTGTTCCATCAGTGCTGGACAAGTTCATGACTCCCATTGATTCTGCTTAAAGTTTAATCCTTCTATCATATTGGTTTTCTAAGCTAGCTATAAAGTTTATTCCTTCTATCATCTTGACAATAAAAATAAGACCTTTCTCAGTTTCTAAGTAGTTATAGATCATGCATCTAGCTTGTTTTCGCATTTATGTTATAATTTTTAAAATATTTAATACTCACTTTTTCTTCTAATGAGTATGTCTGTTTCTCAGACGCGCGCACACACATATTACTTCATATTCATATGATAAAATCTTAGAAATTAGCAGATGTTACAAATGGGGATTATAAAAATCAGAGTGAGAACAGTAAAACTTAAACGACAATTCACAGTTATTAAAAAAAATTAATTAAATAAAGTTCGGTAAGTTAACTTCCTCATCATTTGCCCCTTCCCCAACCCCGACCCCTCGCGTCTCCTGAGTCATTCATTAATCTTCTTCCTCTTCCTTACCAGTGCCAGCCTTTCCACTGCTTCCGACAACGGCCTACTTTCCGTTGACGTCGCTGCTCCGACGCGGCCGTCGAGCATGTGCTCTTCCGCGCCTCTCGGTCTTCTCTCGGATGATTAAGTTTGTTGAAGCTCGGGTCATCAGGTGTTAACCAGGAGGAGGATTCTGACGCTCATTTTGACGATCTGGCGAGTCTGGTTCCTCGCGAAGCTCTCTCTGCGAAAGCTTTGCTTCACAAAGATGCGACATAGTTCTGATTTTTTTTCATCCCTTAAGAACAATTTCTTTTCACATGCTTATCTCAAGTAACCTCTGTTAGTTATATAACATGTCGTTTATAGATTATAATTAGTTATAATTAGGGCCGGAGGCAGTATTCGTAAATTACAATCGAAAAATTAGTTGCAAACTATTCCAAACGGAGAATAATTAATTCATTACAATTTAGAAGAAGAATGGATTTTGAGGAAGTTTGCGCTTCCGCCTTAAGTTTGCTCCCATTTGGTTCTGTTGACAATGACGTTGACCTTGACCCTGTTAAAATGGCCAAATTCAGAGGGATGATATCACTTTGTATGATGCCGTCAGCGTTGTGTAAGAATATTTTTTGAAGTAAAAAAAAAAATTGACATTATATAAGCATTTTTTTTTTTAACTTGCTCTCATTTTTCCATTTATCCCTCATCCAAGAGACACAACGAATTTTCAGTTTAAAAAATTCCAATCATACGCCAAGTGATGCAAAGCCATCAGAGGCAACTTTCATAAAAATTAGACTTCGCGGCTAATGCAATTCATCAGGGAAGTAGTTTCTTCTTCATATTTCCTCAATAAATAAAACAAAATGGTGTCTCTTTATTAGTTCACTACGCGCACAGATCTGTGCTTGGTCTCACATAATTTATCCCTCAACAAGTTATAATCCATTTTGCGGATAGTTAACTTCCGCCTTGGGGAAATTACACCCGCTTTAAATCCAAACACATAAACTATAATTATATTTATTTTGATATAAGTATTTTTATCTAATAATAAAATAGTTGAAAACATTTTGATCATTTTTTATTTTAAAAATAGACTTGTATCTATTTTAAAACAAAATTGTAAAATATATATATGTAAAATTAGTGTAACTTTACTGTTGATTTTTTTCGGCTCTATAACATAGATCGTCATTCATTCCTTGCTAACGAAGAGACCGGCTTCTTTAATGGATCTGATTTACCTGAGTTTTGAGTATATCAGAAGCATCAAGAGTTGGCAAAAAGGCTAAAAGCAAAGCAAGATAAGGATAAGCAGAATTGTGTCCTAATTACACTGCACAAAGAAAAGCCCATCACATGGATTCCTCTATATATATATATATATAAATATATTGCTCTTCATGAAGTCTGAAACAAGCTGCTGTCAAGTAAATCGCCATGGACAAAATCAAGAGTGAGAAAATTAAATGACTTTAGCCTTCCAGACAAGTGTGAGGCGGAAACAGACATATAAACAGGGTCACGAGGAAACAAAATGAAAAAGACCGTTTTAATTTATTTTCACCTTCCTCCGCCGGAAAAAAAAAACAAAAAACCAGCCCTTGAAAACAGAGTAGCACCATCAAAATGGTGCATAATAGTATCCTCCTGCTTGTCCCATGCCATTATATTGTGGCATTCCATAAGGCATCATCATTGGTTGAGAACCAGAAGCAATGAAACTAGATCCCCCAGCAACCTTATTCAGACCCATTTGGCCTTGCATCCCATTTCTCCCATATTGCTGCCATATCTGCTGTTCCTGTACAAGCATCGCTTGCTTTCTCTCCATTTCTGCGATTTGCACATAAGAAGGTGGTGGCACTGAAATTGATGCTGCAAATGGGTCCTGTGGCCCTACAGCCTGAACTGTGCCGTCCGGCGCCGGCAGAGCCAGCACTGGGGTGGCACTCTTACCAGGAAGTGCCACGCTGCTAGCACTCCCACCACTTATTTGAGATGTGCTTACATGTTGCCTCACAGCACCTTGATCATACATGCCATTTAGAAGTAGTGAATCAAAACCTCCTGCTAAATCTGCTTTTTGTTTGGACAAATTGCTACCAGATTCCACCAGTGCCAATTCCCAATCTGCTTTTCCCGGTTCGGCTGCTGGTGTTTGCCATGCAGAAGTCACTTCAGATCCTCCATCTGAAGGAAATGCTTCCCAGGAACCTTCTTGATTTACAGTTGGAGGTCCAGAGAACAAAGCCAGAGCTAGTCTATTGCCTTGTTCATCAGCCGAATCGCCACCATCTCTTAGATCCACTAAATTATTCGTCACTTGTTGTTGAGGAGGAGGAGTCTTAGGTTGAGTAACCGGAGGGGGTGGAGGTGTAAAAGTTTCTGGAGCCCACCACTTATTTGAGATGTGCTTACATGTTGCCTCACAGCACCTTGATCATACATGCCATTTATTTAGAAGTAGTGAATCAAAACCTCCTGCTAAATCTGCTTTTTGTTTGGACAAATTGCTACCAGATTCCCACCAGTGCCAATTCCCAATCTGCTTTTCCCGGTTCGGCTGCTGGTGTTTGCCATGCAGAAGTCACTTCAGATCCTCCATCTGAAGGAAATGCTTCCCAGGAACCTTCTTGATTTACAGTTGGAGGTCCAGAGAACAAAGCCAGAGCTAGTCTATTGCCTTGTTCATCAGCCGAATCGCCACCATCTCTTAGATCTACTAAATTATTCGTCACTTGTTGTTGAGGAGGAGGAGTCTTAGGTTGAGTAACCGGAGGGGGTGGAGGTGTAAAAGTTTCTGGAGCAGGAAGAGCCTTCACCTCATTCATTTCTGGTTCTGGTTCTGGTTCTGGTTCTTTGACAGCTTCCTTTACTTCTATATGCTTCTCAGGATTTTTTGGCCTATTAGCCATTCCCTTCAGAAAACCTTCAAGTGTTCCCAGAAGCTTATCAGTAATCCTCTGAACTTCAGGGTACTCTGATGACCTTGCAATTCCCATATCTTTACACCAATTATAGAAATCTACGAGTCCATCAATCATCTTGGCCGCAGTGACATAACAATCAAAGGCTTTCACACAATATGCATATTCCATCTCTGTGAATCGATCCAACAATACCCCCAATACCTCACATATCTCTACATATAACTTGAAGCTTTCTTTTACAATTTGGTAAAGAGCAACGAGAATCAACCTGCTACTTTTTGCAGCACCACTTGGCCTACAGCCCAATACGCGATCAAGAAGCCGAAGTAAACGGTTCAACTGTCCAAAATCCTCTCGGGTTTCATGTCTCTCACAGGAGTAATCGCATTCTTCTGCTCTTTCTCAACTGCTTCATTCACGTCACCGTACGACCTCGTCCTCCTACCCATCCCAGGATCAAACTCATCCCTGTATTCACCATAACCGCGTCGAGATGGCCCCCAGCTATCGTCCCTCTCTGCAAATTTAACTTCAGCTGATTCAACACCTTTTAGATTCTTCTGATACACCACAAACTCAACCTTCTCATCAAGATACATCGCATAAAGCCTCACGAAACCGGCATGATCCCAAGAATGGGAATGCGCCTCGTCTCTGAAATCGGACATATTCAAAATCCTCATGCCTCTCCGAGTGGAATACACAATCTCCTCTTCAAACAAAGGATGCCCATCAACCAAAAGTCTATGAACAAGCATTAAAGCCTTGAGAGCCACGATCCAGTCGCGCGTCTTTCCGAGCCTCTTCGATATAGTGATCACACAAGCAGTAACATAACCCCTGGAATACGAAGTAAGATTCAAAATCTCACTGATATATTTATCATCAGCTGGGACTTCCTCATGACTGGTGGCTTTGACTATCAAGACTTCAAGTTCAGGAGCTAAATTCCCGGCGACTTTCGCTATGCTAATGCTAGTCTGGTCTTTCACAACACCAATCGCCTTACGGATCGTGCTGGATGCCATTCGCGATTGCGCAAACAACTACCAAGTACACCAAATTCGCTTGCTTTCGAAAACTGGGTGGAAATTGGGCTCAGAAACAACAGTTTTGGAGGTGAAAATTAGGATTACCTTGTATAAGAAAACTCTGTAAAAAGCGGTGGAAGATCGGATCTGCGAAGGGAATGAGGTGGATCACGATCGGAGAGGAGAAGGCTACGTGTTGAGAAGGGAGAAGAAGAAATGCAGGGAGGTGGAAGATGTGTAAGCCCCGGCCTCTCTGAGGACATGCGAGGGTGCAAGTGCTGTGTGCGTGAGACTGATCGAGAGAACAAAAGCGGGCACTGATCGCGAAACCGCGTAATCCCCGGGCAATAATCTTCTTCCTTAAGATATTTATTCCTTTGTCCACGTAATCCCGTGCAAAACGCAGTCGTTTTGTCCGTCGCCGTGATGGACGATTTCCACATGTCACGGTCAGGGTCCTTTTATTAATTGTCATCATCGTTTATTATTTTCAAAGTAAATTTATTTATATAATTAGTCTGTTTTCCTCCCCCACAGGGTCTTATGATAAAAACCATGGGAATTAATAAAAAGAAAGAGAGTATATACTTATGAATTTATATATAATTATTTTTCCAGCTACTGATAATTAATTTTTTGTGCATTCTTTGAATTATTCTTACAAGACTCTTTCTCTATTTGCTTTGTTTCTTTCTATATGACCTTTTAAAAGGAAATGTTAAAATATGCAGCAATCGGTAACGGACAAAAGGAAACGCCATGGTGAAAACTTTGTGTTACCCGTAATAATTTATGCAGAGTTGAAAACTTCTTTCAAGTGTTTGTTTTCGAAAGCATTGACTGTATCTTAAAAGGCGTCCACACAAGTCGGTATCCTACATGAAATATAAAAAGTATGCAGGAGGTTATGCTATTCATGAATAATAAATACTCCCTCCGTTCCTTATTATAACAGACGAATAACCGAAGTACGTTGATAAAAAAAATAGTTAAAATTAGTTGAGAACAATCAATGTGTAAAAAGTATAATTTTTTTTCCAAAAATGCCTTCATTAATAAGGAGAGAGAGTATCAGAGAGAACAATTAAATTATTAAAAGAAAGAAGTAGGAGGGGGAGAGAGTGTGAGTTGGAGATAATAAATATGGGTAAACTAAGAAATCAACACAAAAAAATAGAGACAACGTTTAAGTGTCTCTTATATATAAGAACATGCCATAAGCATCAAATGTCTCTTATAATAAGGAACGGAAGGAGTATTGAAAAATGATACCCATAACCTCCGGTCCATGTTTCTCTCCACATGCAATTAATGTATTTTCTTTTCTTCACTGGGCACGTATGAATGTGAGCATTACTTTTAAGGAGTTCTCAAACCTTAGTTTACTATGTGAGAGACTAACTTCATACTATATTATGCTTGGTTGATAATATACTATCTCTAATCTTTAATATAAAAACTTGTTTGATTTTTATTTTAGTCTTAAATATAAAATCTTAATTCACTTTATTTTTTATATTTGTCTATTTTTTTTAAGGTAATCCTTGTAATAATGATAGTTTAATAACAATATCTTGGAAAAAATAAAACATATTTATTAGAAATAATTTAACTTAACTAATTTTTTAATCTATTTAAATTAATTAGCCAACTCTTATCTTAAGAATAGGAGCTAATATTTCTTATGTGAGATAAATGAGCCAAGACTTGTATCAACAATCGAGAATCGACAAAATATAAGATCAATGAGTCACGGCATGTTTGTAATTTTCCCCCACTAGACCCCGAAGCTGTTGCGTTCCTTTTGTTTGGACTGCCGCTTGTGGACACCCAAGCGGTACTCGAGAAGTTCATAAAAAGTTCAAGCCGAGTTTTTTTTCTTTGGTGATCGAAGTTGAATTTGAATATTTAATTCAGTCTACTTGGGTTTAAAAGACTGAAAGAGACTCAAAATATTGAATGGGAGGACGCATTAATAAATAGAATTTACCGCCGGTTTGTTCACATTTAACCCAAAAATAATTGAGCTAAATTATATGGACAAAATTATTGGGATGATTAAAATTAAAATAATGATAAAGAATCGCTAAAAACTGTTGTTTTAAATTTAATTTGAAGATGACTTGGAAAGCTTGAATGAGAAATAATGGCAATCACCAAGCATACTTGCATGTGAGGCGCTCAAAATGAACAAGGAACTTGATAATGATCATTACAAGCAGGACAATCAAGTATTACTCAGTGGAGACTCATTCCACCAGGAAAGCACACAGTTCGCCGAATAACATTGAGTGATGTTATGATGAAAAAGTGACGTAAATTCTACGATTGATAAATATAAAAGAATCATAGCAAATAAGATAAATGACTGAATAGAACTGCATGTCAGTATCTAGCTTTAACTGGGTAAAAAATAAATTATAATGACTAGCTCAATATATACCGAAAAAACTAAAACAATTTAAAAAAACCAAAAAACAGGCCCAACCAAGAGGGAAAAGGAGAATGCAGACCTTAACCCTCCTCTCTCCAGCACCCCTTTTAAATTTACCCTACATAAACAGACTTAGGTCGTGGTCCTAATTGAAAAGAGACCCAAAAAAAAAAAAAACGAAAATTCCATGGAAATACAAATTGGTTAGGAAGCCACTAAGAAGGTGATACGTGATAGGTTCATCCTAAAGATAATAACACCTAAATTCCGCAGCTTCCCCTTTGCACAAGGGAGCGGGATCACAATCCAATACATACACTCAAGGTCCTTGGACAAAGACTACAAGATACACGGTCACCTTTGAGGTTGCTCCGTTACAGTGGCTCCTGACGGGGTGCTCGGACCAGCGCCGTTCTCTGTTGGAGGCGGAGAGCCCCATCTTCCTTCTGACTCTAGTGGCTCAAGAACATATACCCCGCCATCTGTAAGTCCCAATGCAAATTGATTGGCTTCGGAGGGATGTGCGGCAATGACAAGAGGATGGACTCTCAAGCTGTAAAATGAACTGTTAGATATGAGAAAGAAAATAATAAGAAGATCTTCCATTACGCTTGATCATAAAAAGAACCTTGGATTCGGATGAAGATATGCAGTTTGATTTATTCTGCACCGTAATCTGAGGGTTGAAGCAGTGAGTACGCCCACACTTCCATCTTCAAAGCTTACATATATTAAGTGACTGTCACATGAATACGTAGCATGTGTGATTGGACCACTGGCTTCTCGAGGAGCCCACTGATCAGATAACAACAAAATTCCGGAATATGTTAGTAGGCTTACCAGAGAAATCGCCTTGAAATACAGAAAACCAACGAAGCTAGGAATAATTAAACATAAGCCACTCTATCAAGTCAAATTTTGGAGATTGGCACACCTGCTTTAAGCATTCCAACTTAGGTGCCTCAAAGATGGCTATCTGGGTTTCATGAACAGCCAGCAAATGTATCTGATCTTGATGGAATTGGACTCGAGTATCACCAAGAGGCGCTGGTGCCCGACCACTGGGCATCTGCAGAAATTTACTCGCCTGCTTTTCCCATCCATCTGTGCTCCAAACGCACAACTGTGGGAGCATTCAACAAAAAACAAATAAATACACAAGAATGAACTTGATCTATACACAATGCATGGTGATTTTCATAATTATTTTTCTAAGAACGCTCATCAAAAGAAATCATTCACCACCCATAGATGCCATTTAATCTCTGATCCAACTACATATGCAGATGATTACCGATTACAGTACAACAGAAGTCGGGAACATTATTAAATGAAACACATTCCCACGTACAAAGCCAAAGAGAACAAAAGCTTAGGCTTAGATAACCACAGAGAACAAACTCTAGAGATGTAAACATCGTTAACCAGATGCAGTAACAAATGATGACCAGGAACCATCATTTCGGCAGTTCAATGTCCATAGCAACAGAAATAGATTCTTCACCTGAGAGTCAGCTCCCGATGATACAAGCACATTTAGAACGTGAGAAAATGCAAGACCAGTGATTCTCTTCTGATGACCTTTTAGCTTGGTTTTGACCTTGGATGAAAAATGAAAAGCAAAGGTAAGCTCAGGAATTTCTCAATCTGATAGTTTATCAAACTCAACCAATTATAGAGTAATACCTCATCCACCCTAACATTGTAAATTTGTATAGAAGAGTCTTCCATGCCAATGGCAATAATATTGTTGTCTTGAGGATGAAAAGCAAGAAATGTAGCAGCTGGGGGCGGTGGCATGAAAGTAGTCATTGTCTGCGGTTAGGAAGCAAATACATGTTAATCACACAAAATAAGTGTAACAAGACAAAGTGACATGTTCATAACAAAACAAAGTAAACCCTAAAAAAGAAGGTTAAAAAAAAATTGTTTTGAAGTGTCATTCAGTTTAGTTTAACATTAAAGTCGAAGAAGCAACTGATAGATGCAATAGATAGCAGATAGAAGCAAAATAACGTTTAAAGCAGGGCCAAAAAAGTTATAAATGAGAGATAGATAGATTAGGGGCAGAGGGAGCCAACATCCATGGATTTTAAAGCCACCAAAAAATGAGAAAAAAATGTGTGTGGCGGAGGAAAAATTTAAAAAATAGTAGCTCTCCCAAGTTCTTGTATGTCTGAACTAACATTCATGAAAGAGAGAGGAAAGGATCAGTGAAAAAATTTTTTTTAAAATAATCTTAATGAGCAGGCTCACTTTTTCTCAATCCTTTGCTTATGTCGGGGAAGCGCCCACATCTTTATTGGGGAAAGGGGAAATGAGGATGAAGAAAGGAAACATGGCACGCCATACTGACCATGCATCCTAATTGTCTTCATCGCAACTCCATTACTTAGTGTCATTTCAAGCTTGGGCATTAATATAGGAATTTTTTTGCCCCCTTTTTTTGGGACTAATAATTCTTCATATTCAGTTCATATAAGACAAGGAAAAAAGCAAATGGAAGGCAAGCTGCTTACCCTAAATGTCATCATATTGAAAAGGGAAATTTTTCCTCCCGAAGCTGACATGACATAGGAGTCATTCTTCGAGAGTGCAAAACATGAGACAGCTTCCTCTGGGTTTGTATCACTTTTATCATTAGTCATCAATATTCCACTGGATGGTTGCCACAGTTGTGGTGTAACTGCTGTAGTGGCCTGTTGCATATGCAATCGTGTCATTTAAAATTTTCTGGGACCACTATACTCCAGTTAAATAGTTCAAGAAATGATGAAATTGAAATCCAACCATGCATCAAAGAAGCGTCATTACCTTCCCAGTAACATTCCGATCATTTTTCTGCCATTTCCAAAGCTTGTGAACAGCATTTGCTGCTAATGCCAGAATGGCAACCCCTTGATTTGTGTAAATTAATCTAGAAACCTGAAACAATATTTGATGTTACATAGGTCAACTTGCAAGTTTGTAAAAGATCAAAAACTCAACAAAGAGCCAAATACTGCTAAAATCCACAGTTCCATTTCCTTTAAATGCACGTTGATGGTGATCCAAAAGTGATCTATATTTGTCTTTGACATGCATTGAAGCAAATTTGTAGGTAACATTATCTGCACCACATGCTGGTAGGAACTAAGACACTAATCCAATTTTAAAAGCAGATCTCACCCTTGTTGGTGATAAATTGTCAGGAAGCTTCAGTGCACGGCATTGTGATAGTTCAGTAATTTCTGTCAGTTTCCAGATCCTAGATTTATCAACAGCTTCATCAGCAATTCTGGGCTTTACATCAGCTAAACTTCGAGTATCATTATTCTACAGAGACAACAATCAAGTATTGGGTCAATAAAAATGCTAGATAATAAAATAAATGAGGTCCAAAATCATGCACAAATTAACCATATCAATGTACAAAGAACTCACCATTCCAACCATGGCTGCCACTGAAGGAGCTCGATCCGCAAGGCTTGTTCCCACAGTTACATTATTAGAAGCAAAGGTGCTAATTGGAGATGCCTGGGCCTGCATAAACAGGATGGATTCAGAAAATGCATTCGAGCAAGTAATCTAAATCTGAACAACCAACCTTCACAACAGACGCAGTAGCAACTCTAGGAGCATCAAATGGGCGATTCTCCACTGTCCGAAGTAGCCTAATACCATCTGTATTTGCTAATATTTTAATTCCATTGTCATTTGTGGAGACAGCCAACAGTATTCCCTCCTTGTTAAATCTAATACAAGGAGAAGACTGCAAGTTCCAAAGCAAGCCACGTGTTAATTTGAAGGGAAGGAATAACAAGGTCAACAAAAGATAATGCCAATCCAATAATAACCTGTAATCCACCCTCTGCATCTACACTCGTCAACAAGTTTGTACTATCCATGTCCCAGAATTTAATCATAAACTCATCACCAGCAGCTAAGAATCGATTCTTAGTTGTATCAAATTGCACAACACCTACGGATCTCTTCCCCAGACCATGATATGTACGCTTTACAGCTCCTTCACTTTCATTCCATTCCACTAAAAATGATTCCCCTTCTTTGTTTGTGCCGCATGAAAATAGCCTAAGTAACACATATAGGTCCCAACAAATAGTCACACCACAAAATCATGCATCAGCCAAAAATTAGAAACAAGAAAAGGTATGGTTAGTGTCTGAACCTTGTTCCATCAGCACTATATGCCATTGCAGTAGAGGAATGGCCTGGTGCGTCATAGTCAACCCTAGAACCCATGTTGTCATACAACCAAGCCTTTATTTTTCCATCAGTTGCAGTTGAAAAGATGAACTACACAAGCATATATATGGGATCAGACAGTATGTAAACCAAGACAAATTAAATGAATGAATACATGCAAGACCATGTAAACCAGAGATCAAGATGATCAAATATTAACATGAAAAGTAGTTCAAGAGAATATCAGTGTTATTAATCAATAATATCAGGCAACCAGAAAACGTAAGAAGCAGAGACTTCCAAATTCAGACATATTTGTTCCATCTCATGATGCTCGTCCATCAACTAACTGTGGCAGACAAAATTCTACTCACTTAACAATAGCCACATATTGCAGCCCAAAAAACAGAAGCCAAATAATTTGTAGTGCTGGGTTTAGCTTACCTGAATATTTTCTTTGTGATGAGGGCACACAGAATATACAGGTGCTTCATGACCCTCAAATATATACTGCTTTACACCCGTGACTGCATCCCATACCTGCAAAACTTGGACTCTTACAAATGATTTTGCATTGCAACCTCGTCATGAAATATTGTATGAGTAACAAACCTTGATGACCCTATCTTCTCCGCAGGTAACAACACATAGTTGTTTGTTCGGATAAGAGAAAGCAAGATCATTGACACTCCCAGCATGTGCCTCAATCTGTTACGACAAAAGCAAGTGAGCACCAATATATGTATCGAGTTATGGGTCTTGGTGCTTTTCATGTATAGATGGGAGATAAATTTAAAAACAAAATAACGTTGACAAATTTAATAGACAAATGATCAACTGGCATATAAAGCATATTTGCTGGACTACGGAGAGAAAACAACCTCTAGGTGGTTCCTAAGATCATCCCCACCGTGATAGGAATATAAGTGCACAATGTGCTTAGAATAAGCAACGCCTGAAATATTGAGAAAACAAAATTCAACCTGTTAACAACTTCAAATGACATAAGTATGGGATCAATAGAATACATCAAGAAGCAAATACGTAAACCGAGCCATAGAAAGCAGCAAATATCCTTAGATCATACCAAAAAGTGTTCCATCAGGACTCCACATCACACGGTTCACCGAAGCTGTGTAATCATTAGCCAGTGATGCCTACATTACGGTTAGATAACAGTTACTCATTAGTTGACAAGCTGACTTCAAAGTTCAAACGGAAACAATAGATATGCAGTGTTCATCAACTTTAGTTCAAGAAACACACCTGTAGAGGCATTGAACACACTCCAAGGTCCCAGACCTTGAAATTTCTAAGTGCAATCCTGTCACGGCTACCTACGTCCCACACCATGACATCTCCCATGTTTGTTCCAACTAAACATCAACAAAATTAAAAGATAAATCAATTTACAAATTAATTAAATATATACATTAATAACTAACTAAAAACTGAGGACATTACTGTTTGAGTGGAAGTCAAGAAAAAAGCAGCTTACCAAGAAGTAGGATTTGTTGAAGCGGATGGAAATCCATACTTTTGACAGATGACCCTTGGCTTAGAGTCATCACAACGTTCTTGGGCAAGTCATCAGACGAATAGGAGCTCTGACCGTGGCTTTGGCTAGAGTAAGCAACAGGCAGAATATTTACTGGTAGATTATTGACCTGCTAGAATTCATGAATGCAGGATGAGTTACAGACATTAAATTTCTGCAAAGAATCCATAATTGGTAGACTTCAAAATGAAGGAATTAATACCTAACGGTTTTAAAATAAATTTAAAATTTATTGTAAATGGCTAAGCAAGCATATATGCATCACACACTAGTCCATCCAATCCAGTCCAATTTAAATCCTACAAATCCTTGCCATCCTCCACCTGGAGAGCAAGGCAGCAATTTCTGTTCTCAGCATTAATATATCTCACGAATTGTGGAAACAAAAATAATATTGAAAAAAGAAGCAACAAACGTTTCCAATTTCCATATGAACGAGGTTTTTGAGCTTCAGTTCTTTGAAACTGTACACTTTACAACTTCCCAAAGTGTTTTTCAGTTTTGATAACAAGAAAAAAGGTTGTGAAAAGCGTAGAAAAAATAAATAAAACTTCTAGTTAATATGAAAATTTTAACCTAGATATTCTCTGACTATGGAGTAAATAAAGTTCCATAGTTCAAAGATAAGCTATGATATGATCAGGTGTGCTGCCAAGCAATTTGGAATTCCACTAACTTCCAGTTATATTAACAAAGTGCCACACTGTGAAACAAGCATCTTGCACTTTAAAAGACATCTACGTGAAGGATAATGAAAAAAGCTGACATGCATGATCATGAGATCCACATTTTCACTCTTTAATCAAAAAGACAGAGACAAACAGATAGAATGCATCTTTATACTTCATCTGATATGCCAAAAGGCCTTGTCCTCTTCAATACGTGATCTGAATCTGCAGTTTGATAGTCCATAGCTGGGTTATTAGTGGGAGTTCTGGGGCGCTTTAAAATAGCTGTTGCCATGACCAAAACAGAGAGCGCAAAAGAAAATCAGGTTGGAAAGTGATCGAGCACAAAGAGACAAAGGAAGATTGATTGCCAATCATTCAACAAGCATTATAGAAAAAGCCAACATGACATAACCATCACAAGATCTCTAGCAATTTCAATATTTTCTCAGTTTTTCAAATCTCACATCACTTTTGCAGTTCCATAATTGAATGTATTCTCACGCATGATTAGATTTATAAAAACCAGCACGAAATGACCAGATAGATGAGGCCAGTTCCCATTTTATGTGTTAGTCAAGGCCGACAAAACATTGACTAGATGTAAAATTACCTGCATTATTCGCTGCAGTCAAACCTATTGGTACTGCAGAGGCTGATGGGTGTGGAACAGGGGATGGATTGGCCATCCATCCAGCAAGTGATGTCTGAAGAGCAGGTGGTGTTGGCTGGAATGGCTATAAGATGTATAAATGGTATCAGGTATACAACATTTTATATTTATATATCACAAATTACCAGTGCAGCATAGGAGAATTGTTTCCAGTTCTGTTACTTACACCATGAGCACCAAGCGGTGGGAAACCTCCAGCCTTGGGGACAGCACCCATTAGAGGATTAGTAACAGGGGATGGAGCCCGTGCACCATTTGGCTGTCCACAGCTATGGTCTACAAATAGGGTCTTTATGTCAGGATTAGACCTTGGATTCTTACAGAGTTGATGTTGCCAGTTTAAACTGCAATCAACAATTAAATAAAAAACAAAAAATAATTGTTACATCAAAGATTAAAAAAATAATGGAATAAGTGCTAGAAAACATATGATATTTATAAGGACCTTTGATTGATTAAAGTCCGCAGCCTGGAGTTCTTCAAGGTAGGAAACTGAAGCTTATCACGAAACAAAGGGTTAGCTTCTATTAATTTCTTTAGTTCAGCGAGCATTATCCCCCTAGCGGACTTTGTATCTCCATACTTAGATAGCTGTTCATTATGTCTGTAAATTCATAAAAACCATTGTAATTCTAAGTGAAGAAAAAGTACCATAACATTATACCAAGCTTATTGCCCATACCTAAAGTTATCCAAAGTCAACAGTTGTGTGATTTCCTTGAAAAGATCCTCATTAAATGCGGCAAACACTTTCAAGTCCTTCACTAAAATATCCACTGCTTTTGATCGATCTTGCCTGCAGTTGTTTAAAACTTAATTCTCTCGCCCGTCATGAATAAAAAAATTTTAAGAACAGTAACAGCTTAACATCACCATAACATACTTATCTAAAGCTTCAAGGTATTTCTGCTTCCTAATCTCAAAGAAGATCTTCATGGAATATCTATTATCATCCACCTTCGTGAAACCAGACAAATATTTTTCAACCTCGTCCCACTCCCCATTCGTTACCATATCCTCGAAATATCTCATGTTAAAGAAAAATCCCGACTCTTGCTCCAACCTATAGACGTTCACAATTCAGATGAAAAATAATCAATTAGCCAGAGAGAACGAGAAGATATGTATGACTACCGAAATTAAAATTAAAAATTTATTAAAAAAAGATGAGTAGAAAACTAGCATACTTGTGAACAGACTCCTTAAATTTTTCTTCATCTAGAAACTGAAGTATAAGAAACACCAGTTCTCTGCTAAGCGAAGACATGGCGGTGTCCCCAGCAACTAAAATAAGTCCGCCTGAAAGATCGAAACCAGAATAGATCAACAACACTGGAGCATCAAAACCTTGAATTAAGCGAAAAATACATCAACATGAAAAAATTCAAGACTCTGTGTGAGAAACCAAAATCTATCAGAAAAAATTATTTTATTATCCAGATATTAAGCAGAAAATTCAGGAAAAAATTGCTGAGAAATGGAAAATGAGAAGGAGAGAAGGAGCTCGCACCTGTCTGAGATTTCCTACACAGATCGATAACCCTCGAAGCAGAACGAGGATAATTAAGGAGGGTTTCAGTGGTTTCTCGCTCTGCTTTCTCTCTCTAGCTTTTCCCGTGTTGGAACGCTTCTGGTGAAGTATTTATACAGGAAAGGGCTAGGGATTTGGGGAGAAAGGAGAAAGAGAGAGAGGTAAGAAGCGACGAAATGAATGAATCAAGACGGTTTAAATAGCGTGAGCGAGCACGAGATGAGATGGGAATCATGGCTCCTGTGTGATAAGCCATCGTACTTATAACCGATGCAATAAGTAGAACCACTTATCCAAAGTGAGATTTGCCTTCTGCTTATCTGGAGTCATAAATAAGCAGATTTAGATTTATTTTCGGCTAGACTTGCGGAGTTTTCAATCTGCAATAACGCTGATTTATTATCATTTCCTATATAATTTTCTGAGCACATACATAACACTGGTATTTTATTTTGATTCATTAATTGTATAAAGCGTTTTATTCATTATTTAATTCTAATGTTGTTATAAAAAAAATACTACCGTTAGTATTTTAAATATTGACAAATCATTACCTGACATATTTTCAAAAATAATAATACTTGACATAAAAAATTATTATTTGAGAGTAATAATATTAAAGTTAGATGACTAAAAAATATTTTATAAAATTTGGAGAACAAACTAAAATCTTATAAAATTTGGAGAACAAACTGAAAAATATGCACTTTTGCTTGATTTTCTGTGAGCACACTTCCATTTCTTTTCTAAAATATTTTCAATTTAATTAGAAAAATTTCGGAAGAGGACCTGGCTTCGTTTTTTGTCTATTAATTAATTAATAATCAAATCTAGTTTGTTGTCCGGGAGAGAGAGGGAAATCTTTTATTTTCTGTAGGTTGTTATATTTTTATAACTGTGAGTTAATCACTTTTATCTAAATTTTTTATTGGTTATGTTGAAATTATTTTCTATTTTTATTCTATATTTAGATTTTATATACGAAGCAAACAATTATAGACTAAAATATTTATTACAGAATCAAGTAAAATATTTGACTTTATAAATATGCATATACATATATATCTATAAATAAAAGGATACCTTAGTTATTGCCTAGCTATAGTCATCTAGCTTCTACTCTTGACCAGATAAATTTAAATACAAAAAGGAAAAAAAAATGGCCCCGTTAATCACACCATAAAGAAATATACTTCAAAGTTGACTAACAATAGATATAGAATTGTGATTGAGATTTGAGAGATCCTAAGACGCATGCAAATAACCCGTTAATTTTTGAATATTTTTGTTTGCTGAAAAAATTAGAATATCTTGAACTATTTTAGATTATCAATTATCAAATGCTTTTTATTTTTTCATTTGTTGGCAAAAACATCAAATGATTTTTATTTTTCCTTTCTTTCGCATCAAGAAAGTTTTATGCTGGGTTAGCACAAAAAAAAAATCATAAATATTTACATTTCATTCTCTCTTTAACATCTAAGCTTGCCTATTTTCAAGGAAAATTTGCCTTTGATTAGGAAAAAAAACCTAAATTTACTTGATATTGCTTTTCAGTTTCCCTTTCATTTATTGTCCTTAAGATACTTTTAAAAACGGAGGCTTACAAACTTCACTTGCTAAAAAAAGTATTATAATACATTATATTATAAAAATAGAAAGGTATTACACTAATCTCATTTATACAATTTCATTATTTAGAAATTATTAATCATTTTGTCCATATTTCTCTTCGCAATATCTGTTGTTCGCTTTAGTTTTTTCTATCACTTAAAAAACTATCCACGCCTCTTTTTCTGGGAAAAAAATCTGTATTGAATATATCCTAATCGACGTATATATTTAGAAATTGTGAATTATTTTGTACATATTTCTCTTCGTAAAATTAGTTGTTTCGCTTTAGTTTTTTTTATCATTTAAAAAATTCTCCATGCCTCTTTTGCTGAAAAAAAATGTGTGTGTGTGTGTGTGTGTTAAAGGCTGGCAAAAAAAATGAATACATATATATATGTACACACGTATATATATAAAGAAGTCCAGTGCAGGCGTTGATAATGAAAATCCGTACAGTTATACGTTTAATTGAGAAAGTTCATTGTCTGGTGACGTGTTTGGATTAGCAAGGAATCGTTCAGTTACCAAATTATCAGATAAAAATTAATCATCTAAAACTTTAGGTTAGAATCATTAGACATCAATTATTTCCAAAAGGATTGGTTTAAAAAAGCACTAAAACTTATCAATTTATTTATTTTTTCTGAAAAGTGCATTTACAATTCCCTGTGGGGTTAATAATTTTATATGTGGTAACTTCTTATTTGTATTTTGGAGGAAACCATTTTTTACTTTCATGGGGGGGGGGGGGACAGAGTTTTATTTTACTGATTACTCCTGTACAATTTTGATCAAATATTTTTGTGAAAAAATCAATACCATCAATATCTAAAAATATGAATTACAATTTTTGAAAAACCAGATATAATTGTAATATAGGCACACGGTTTTATTGGTTGATTCAATACTAATTTTTAGTCTTATGATAGTCCACTTTTACATATTTGATATATTCCTAAAAATTATTAAAAAATATTTTTTTATTGTAAACAAATATGAAATATCCTAATTATTTTATAACAAGCTGCGACTGCGTTGTTTAATGCGCAGAATAAATTAGACTAACATAAAAAAAAAAAAAGGAGTAGAAATGATTCCATGACAAAAAAAAAATATTATTCACATTCTGGGTAAAAAATAACAAAACAGATAAGTAATGATAATAAATGCATGAATATGATACGCATTAAAAACAAAAATTTTCATGAAAAATATCAAGTAGGTTTTAAAAGATTTCTTACTAATTACTTTAGAGATAAGAATGCATATTAAGATTAAAAAATGAAGGTAGCTATTAAGGTACAGCTGATTATTTGCTATATGAATTTCCATTCCTAAATATAGAAATTAAACAACTAATTTAAAAAGATAAAAAAATTTAAAATAGTTATTTATGAAATAATCTCGTATATCTTTTTTTTGGCTTTTAAACACCCCTATTTTTAGTCAAATATATTGAGATCAATTCATTAATAAAAACATATTTTAACATATGTAGTTATTAAAAATAGTTTGAGAAATTTTCAAGAATAAAATAGACTGGGATTTTATATTTAATATTAGAGTAAATTCTTTAACCAAATTTTATTTTTAAAAATGATAAATTAAATTCAAGAAACTGAATAAACTACTAGTCACTGTCACGAGCTTCAAGAGAGTCTAAAACCACAGCATGAAAAACACTATTTTCTATCCTAATTATAAAATTTAATTTATAATATAAAATTATATTACAAACTAAATTTTATAAATAGGATAAGAGATAGTAAATAACTGCAATTTTTTGTTTAAAAAAAACAAAGAAGCTGCGATTTTTTATAGTCAGGAAGCAAGTGGAGCTCAACGACAATGGACTCGGATAACGTAAACCGCGGGAACAACCCCCGGTTCATGGGCAAATAGGCAATACATCTTCGGCCAGGGGCAGATCTGCCATTCTGCTCGCAATTCCATGCAGAGTATTTCTCCGTTCTTGATATATACTATCTCTAATTTTAATTATAAAACCTTGTTCTAAACTAAAGATATTGGTTAACTAATTTGAATAAATTAAATATGTTAGTTAAGTTAATTTATATAATATGTTTTTTTCTAAAACTTTCTAAATATATTTCTTAATTCACTCTTTCTTTTTATTACTTAATTGTTGTTGAAAGAATATTAATAGAATTACTTTGAGTAAAAATTAATAAATATTTAAAATAGATCTTAGATATAGAAACAATATCAATTCTTCAATTATTTTAATTTTGATAAAGCGCTAGTAACAGGTTGTTTTTTAATGGAATGTGACAAAAATATAATGAAAGTGGAAAGTTAATCTCTTCCACAGTCAAAGGCGACCGTGGGATGGTCTTCCATGCTAATTTCGCAGTAATTTGCTGAAGTTTTACCTTCTGACTTTTCGTTCTATGAAAAGTAACTGTAATTATGATATACTGCTGTGTTATAAATGACATAGTATTAAAAATTACTTATTTAAGCATGTTATCACATACATTAAACAACATAGTCTTTCCGTAAATACATCGTGAGTATTTGTTTTTCTTCATTTTTTTATCATTTTTTTCTACCCACGGTTTTTATCTATGAAAAATAAAACATATAAAAAGTGAGATTATTCATGAGACATGCGAATATGTGTTATATTTTTTATTATTTGAATATTTCTCCACATATTTTATCGTGATCCATGCAACTTGTTTTTGTCATTAGATTTCCTAATACATTTTAACGAGGTTTCACAAGGAAAAAAATATAGCTTTTGTAAAAAAAATGCTACATTCAGTACTTAATACTACCTCTGGTCCTAATTATAAGAACTAGTTGACTAATTTGAGAAAATTAAGAAAATAAATTAAGTTAGTTATTTGTCATAAATATGTATTGTCTTTTCTAAAATATCCTTACTAATCAAGTGTATTGGCTAGAACTACTATTGTTAGAAGGACTATCTTGAAAAAAAATACATAAATATTAAACACAAAGTAGATTGGGGTCTTATATTTAGGACCAAAATAAAAGTCAAAAGAGGTCCTATTTTAAGAACCGAAGGTGGTATAAAAGTTAGTTAGACTTTCAATTTGCTTCTAAATATAAGATTTAATTCACTTTATTTTTTATATTTATCTATTTTTTTAAAGTAATTATTATAATATTTGCACTATTGAATATTTCATCAAATAATAGTTTTAATCAATACAGGTGATTAATAAGAGTATTCTACAAAAGATAACACATATTTATTACAAATAACTAATTTGATTAATTTTTTTACTCTCCTTAAATTATTAAGTTTTACATTAAGAAGCAGAGCTAATAATAACATTTCTTATGAAAACAAAAAGAAGGGACAATGTCGTAGAAGTGCAACATTCTTAAATCCTATGTCGTCCTCGTCAACCAATTAAAGATTTGTGGAATTTGACCGACCCATCAAAGATTTGTGCGTTTTGGTGGGATTCAAAAAGGATTTCTCCGAAGATTTATGTGTTGGAAAAGATTAGTTTCTAAACCGCTATTCTTA